ACAGCAGATCCTTGTCCTAGCCAAATACCTTCTTTTTGCTGCTTAGGAATCTTTTTGCAACAGAGAAAGGCAGGACTCATCTCTGTGCTGTGGTTCCATGACCTACACCCCATTTTGTTATTTCAGCTGGAAGGAGATGTGGTTGCAAGATTACTGGCAAGGTCTGTACCAGGGGGAAGCCCTGACTGCCATGATCTACAACAATGAAACACAGCAGAGCAAATTTTGGGATTACCTACATGAGATCTTCATGAAAAGGAACCAAAATCTCTAATCTTTACCTTGGAAGAGTGAAGATCTTATTCCACCATGGCACATAAGAAGCATCCACTGCACAAGCCTTTAATAAACATTGTCTTATCATAGGTTGTTATATCCTCTAATATTTTATCTTAATGATGTGTAGTAAAGTCTCAGCCTGTGATGAAAGAGCTTCTCCTCCAGGAGAGGCATCCAGATCTTGGTTCAGTGGGAGACAAGAAGCCTGAAACACTCATTTGACTCAATATGCTGGCCCAGCAGAATTTTTCAGACTGCTGTCTTCTCTAGCTATTTCATCCTCTCAATTGTGAGGTAAGATGGGCTAGGTTACACCTTAAAACTTCTGTTCTGTTCTCCAAATCCTTTCCCCAGTAATCTCTTCATCAGCTTTATAAATTATGTTGGTAGAAAAGCCCAATCTCTCATGGGTTCTATTCTGGGTTTGTTTTTTTGTTTTTTGTTTAGTTTTGTTTGTTTGTGAGATAGGGTCTCGGTATGTTGCCACCTGGCCTCACACAGTCCTCCCATCTCCTCCTCTGCATTATGTTGGTTATGTGTAGGTGGGATTATAAGGTGTATACCAGCACACTGCCTCACAGGTTTGTGTTTTTTTATATTATTTTAATTGCCTTTAGGGTCAATTTTGTTATTGTTTTTGAGATAGTATCTTTTCATTTAGTTCAGGCTGGCTTGAACTCATTATGTAGCTCAGGCTGGCCTTGAACTCGAAGTGATCCTCCTGCCTCAGCCTCCCAAGTCCTAGGATTACATACATGTGCCACCACGTCCAGCTAAAGTTTTTATTTATTTTATTTTATTTTATTTTATTTTTTTGGAACCAGAGATTGAACTCGGGTCCTTGAGCTTGCCAGGCCGGCCACTGAAACGCTGAGCTAAATCCCTGGCCCTAAAGTTTTTATTTTAAATGGCTTTTTCCTTTTGGTTTTAGGCCCTTTTCCCCAATTTCAAATGAAGATACACAAATCTTGCTATCATTCTTACTGCTAATTTGCTTATTTAGGTTATATCTGGATTTCTTCTCATCTCATAAATAGGTTCAACAGCTAATATATGCCACATCAATTTAACAAAGTTCCCTATATTTTATAGATCTAAGATGGAGACTAAGGCTAGAAATTATGGCAGAAAAAATTGATGAACAAGTCGAATTTACATATATTACTGATAATCTTCCATACAACTTTATGTTACTGAGACTCTTTTTCATGGAACCCCCATGGCCCTAAATTCAAACAAGGCAAGGCAAGAGATTTAAGCCACCAAAAGTGACTGGCCAAATTACAGCCTTATTCAGACTTGGGGATGCCACCAAGCTCTTCTGTTGCTGTGGTTTAAACATGCAGTCCAATGACTGACACCATGAACTTTCTCTCAGAGGGTAATGGAACAAGAACAGATACCTTGGAGCTTAGAGCCATTCTAGTTGTAAGGTATTAATGAATTATCACTGGAGTAGTTCCATAGATTATCAATATATCTGATTGTAAGTTTATGTCTATATATGTGTCTATACACACATATATATTCACATAGAAATGGATGCATGTTAGATGCTTCAACAACTAATATGCTTACTATTGTAACATCTAAGGATATGAACAAGAAAAGCTATAGTTTAGGCTGGATTTCATTGCCTTTCGTCATTTCATTTTTGTATGTGTGTGTGTGGTGTTGGGATTAAACCCAGGGCTTATACATGCTATGTGCTCTGCCTTGAACTACATCCCTGGCCCTTCATTTTATTCTTCAATGAAAGATGTCTTTCATAATAGCATGGAAAGTTTGCTTACCCTGTTTGGTCTCTTGCAAAGAAGGACAGACCTTCAAAAGTATACTTGTGAGCCAGGTGTGGTGATGCACATCCATAATCCCAGCACTGGGAAGGTTGAGGCAAGAAGATTGCCTCAAGTTGAAGGCCAGCCTGAGCTGCCTAGTGAGATTTTTTCAAAAACAAAACAAAAACCAAAAAACACTTATGCTGGGTATGATGGCACATGCCTGTAATTCCATCTACTCTGGAAGCTGAAGCAGAAGGATAGCAACTTTGAGGCTAGCGTGGGAAACTTAGACCTTTTTTTTTTTTTTTTTTTCCTTCAGTACCAGGGATCAAACTCAGGACCTTGTGCTTGTGAGGCGGGCGCAACACTGCTGAACTAAATTCCCAGCCCTTAGACCATGTTTTTAAAAAAATATATTTTAAAAGTTTTTGGGATATAACTCAGTGGGAGAGTTCTTGCCTACCACGTGTAAAGCTTGAGTTCAATCCCCAGTACTAGGGGAAAAAAGTTAAAATTTTACATAGTTGGCACCTACAAAAGAAATCATAAGGGTCCGGGGATTTAGCTCAGTGTTACTGCTACCTGCCTCAAGAGTAGAGACCAAGTACAATCCCTGGTGCCAATAAAATAAAATAAAATAAATCATAGGACTCCAATTTCTAAGACTGCAATCTTCTTCAGTGCAGATGCCTACTGACAATGCAAAATATATATTGCACAAGTGCAAATCTAGGTTAAGACTCAGATTTCATTATGTGTAATGAAACAAGTAAGTGTTGGTTATGCAAGGTGCAGAATCATCCTTATCTCTGGTCAGTTCACATTAGTATTCCTTTAGCACTTTTATGTACAAAGTGAGCCACCTGTTTATGAATGGTTGTTGCTGGTGATGTAGGCCTGTTTTGTGCTCAGTGATTCTCATACTTTCACCTTTTTTCCTATCACCATGTATTAAAGTATTCACAAAAAAAAGACAGAGTAAATCAGGTGCTACATTTCCACCTGGGAAAGAACTAGGATTAGCCACACTTATGAATTAAAGCTTTGCTTTTCCTATGGAGAAAGCAAGCATTATGAATTTTCCCTGGTTTGGGGTCCAGACTGCTCCATCCTATATAGAAGTAGCATACTACTCACTACAACTGTAGTTACTTGTGGTAGTGGCTGGCAGGAATCTTGTTTTATTTAAACAGCTGGAGTGTGAGGGTGGAGCCAGGTTGGTGTCTTGACTGCAAGTGTTGCTATTTTATATTGAGTTTCATTTTGTATAATAAATTGCTTTTTTATGTCTTCTGCTTGGTCATTTTTTAGGGGTGGGCATGATAAAGTCAAAAACTTGTATGGGGCTGGGGATTTAGCTCAGTGATGCTGCTGCCTGCCTCACAAATACAAGGTCCTGAGTTTGATCCCTGGTACCAAACACAAAAAATAAATAAAATAGGTTGTTTAAAAAAAAAAGAAAAAGAAAACCTGTAAAAATATTTTAAACAGTTGTTCATTTAACAAGTATTTATTGGCACTGTAATAGGCACTGGGAATGTAGCAATGAACAAGATACAAGATGTTACCTTCTCTCATGGTGCTTACATTTTACTGTGGGTATGGGGGTTTGATAAAGCCATTAACAGTAAATTCAGGTAGGAGAAGTCAGGGATGGCATCTCTGATGTGAACTGAGTCTCAAGGGAAGGAAGATCAACAATGCAGGTGTCAGTGGGAAGATTCCAAAACATCCATGACAAATGACTTTTAATGCTAAATTTACACATTTAAGTAAACATTGCTACTTCAAAACAGTTGTTAACTATAAGCTTGTTCAAATTATACTTCCATTACCAGAAACAATTTTTGGAGTTCATCTGGAGATGCCTTGAGAATTCACGACACCTTGAACTGAGTGTACCTCCCCCCAACTGAACCTAGGGCCTTTGCACTGAGCTATGTGCCACCCTGCCCTGCACCACTGAGGACAGGGTCTTGGCTGGACTTGGGGCTCTGGCTGCTTTAGCCTCCCAAAGTGTTGGAATTACAGCTGGCTGGACTGAGTTTTGTAAATAACCAAAAATCACTTAAGAACTAAGCCTGGGCCAGGCGTGGTGGCACATGCCTGTAATCCCAGCACTCAGGAGGCTGAGGCAGGAGGATAGCTGTGAGTTCGAGATCAGCCTGGGCTACATAGTGAGTTCCAGGTCAGTCTCAACTACATAGTCCTGTATCAGAAAAAAAAAAACAAAAACTAAGCCTGGTGGTCGGGTGTGGTGGCGCATACCTGTAATCCCAGTGCTAACTGGGAGCTGAGGCCTTGAGTTTGAAACCAGCCTGAACACATAGCGAGACCTTGTCTCAAAAACAAAACCAAGACAGTAAAACCCCAATAACTAAGTCTGATGAACCATCACAACGTCTATAAACAGGAATGACACTACCAAGTAGCTTCAGAAGGGCAAGAGGATTAAATCACCGCGAAAGGCGTTAAACAACGTCCTACCCAATGGGATCATTACAAATGTCAGTACGTAGTCAGAAATAAGCCTAATCTTTCTTTGCGGCATGGGGACGTTTCCTAAAGTTACAATACTAAACAATAATTCTTGTAGTGTTTATTAAAACAACTTTCCCAACTTAACATCACAAAGCTCCTATTTTTTCGCTCCCATTCACTTTGCCCTTGTCTGACAATCTTCCTCTAGGCCAGGGGGCCATCAACAGAAACGCGTATCGGTTTATCGGGGCCTTTCCCTGGATGCCCCTGCCCCGTACTGCCCAAAGACTTCAGGGCTCTCACGAATGAGCGTGCAAGCTGCCCGCCGCTAAGAATCCGCGAAGGTTCGAACCCAGGTTCACCGCAACCAAGCTCAAGAACAGAGTTGTGCCGCGCGCATATCCTCTTTGACTCCGTAGGGGTCACGCAGGGTCACGCACTGCGCCGCAGTGGCTGCCGGGAGCGCGGCGCGCAATAATGGCGACTCCCAGCCTACGAGGACGCCTGCCGCGGCTTGGGAACCCGCGGAAACCTACCCTGAAGCCCAACAAACCCCTCATCCTAGCTAACCGCGTCGGGGAGCGGCGCCGGGAGAAGGGCGGTGAGTAGTAGGAACCGAGGAGGAACTGGAGCGGAAAGCGGACTGGGGAACGGATGGCTGGGAAGGAGGGCGGGAAGGAAAAGTCTCACTGTGACTGAAGGTCCCCCAGTTCTTCCCCTCCAGAGGCGACATGTATCACGGAGATGTCGTTGATGATGGCTTGCTGGAAGGAGAATGAATTCCGAGACACTGCGTGCAAAAAAGAGATCGAAGACTTCTTCGATTGTTCTTCGAGGGCAAAGGTGACAGCTTCTGGGGTGTCTTCTTGGGAAAAGAATGGGAGATACAGTTTAGTGTTCCTTCTGCCTTTTTCTAGGTGATGGGAAGGAAAGATCCCATTCACTTGCCAGCATGGGCAAAGTTACAGGTTTGTGATTGTTTAGACAGTTTTTCTGTGTAGCCCAGGCTGGCCTTGAACTTGCAGTGATCCTCCTGCCTCAATCTTCCAAGTGTTGGGATTCCAGGTGTGCACCACCATGCCCAGAAAGAAGTTACAGTTTTGAAGGTTGTGTGATCTTGACCTATTTATTTCACTTTTCTGGACGTTAGCCTTACCATATTTATAAAGTAAGGTTAAATTAATACCTACGTTATAGAATTTTCAAATGAAGTAGTGAATGGGAAAATCATTTTGACAGATTTATATTGCTGCTTAAATAGTCACCGTTTGGGACAGAACTGAAGATAGTCAAGCTATCTAAGGACAGGTTGGTTTCCAGTCTCCACTAAACTGTTGGCTGTCATAGTATAGTAGCTACAAATCATACATTTGTAGATTCTAAGTCCCTTTTGTTGAAAAGAATTGGCATCAATCTCTCAGGATTGCTTAATATCTTAGTTTGCTTTACAGCATTGTAAAAACTGTGGGCTTCATGCCTAGTGTGATAGTGCATGCTTGTAATATCAGCACTCGAGAGGCTGAGGCAGGAGGGTTGCTATGAGTTCAAGGCCAGCCTGAATTGCATAGGGAGACCCTGTCTCAAAAAAACAACAAAACAGGGCTGGGGATTTAGCTCAGTGGTGACACTGCCTGCCTCGCAAACGCAAAGTCCTGGTACTGCAAAAAAAAACAAAACAAACCAAAAAAACCCAACCAAACAAAAAAAACCCCCTAAAACTATGGGCCTAAGTCAGGACAAACTTCATATATGTACTATTTTTGTTCTGTTTTCAGGAAGCCCGAAAGATGAAATCATCCCAGGAGACCCTGGGAGAGTCTGGAACTTTATCTCCGAAGAAAATGAATAAGTTGATACAAAGGTTTCCTAATAAATCTCACCTCATCTGAAAATGGAAAAGCATATTTATGGGCCGGGGATTTAGCTCAGTGGTTCGGTGGCCTGCCTTGCAAGCGCAAGGACCCGAGTTCAATCCCTGGTACCAAAAGAAAGAAAAGCATATTTAATGATTGGACTGTCATTTCTCTTTTGGTGGAGGGTACTAGGGATCAAACTCATGACCTTGCACTTTCTAGGCAGGTGTTGCGCCACTGAATACTTGGACTGTCATTTCTGAGAACTGTGCAGAGGCATTTTAAAGACATTTGTATCATCATGCCTCTTTTGTAGGGTAAAATGAAGCAAAACACTTTTTTTTCCATTCACTGGAGCCATGGTCTGCATGGAAGTTATGCTTTATCTTGAAATAAAATTTTCTGAAGAGAGATTGGGTCTTATTGTGAATTAAGTACTCTCTCCCCATTTCCCCCAGTAACTATTTTCTTCTTATTCTATTTGGCAATGATCAAGTAGAGCTGATTATCCCAGTATTCCAGTGACTACCCCCCATCACTCCACTCCACTCTCCCAAATGGTGAAACAGACTTAACTGGTAATTGCGCCCCCACCTTTTTGTTCTGGGGATCGAACTCAGGACCTTGCACTTGTGAGGCAGGCAAGGTGCCACTTAGCCAAATCCCTTAGCTAAATCCTGGTAATTGCCTTGTGTATTAACCTATTCATTTTTCCAAGTTACCTGCAGGTTGCTGAAGGTGTTTTCTTTTATGTTCTCCTGATATTAGATATAAATTGCATAGTATTTTATATGCACTATGCCTTTTCAGGCATAATTGAGTTAACTTTTCTATGTACTTTATGGTATTAAGTGTTGGACACAGAGATCAGTGAAGTTTTTAATGTTCCAGTGGGATAATTAAGGTAAAGATAAATCTTGTGCCCCACCCCAATTGCTGTCTCTTTCCACTGCCCTCATAGCTCACGGGTAGTGCACTGTGCAACTGCCTGCTGCAAACAGGTGGGTTTTTTTGTTTTGTTTTTGGTGGTATTGGGGATTGCACATAGGACCTTCCCATCAATCCACATCCCTAGCTCTTTATTTTTTTCTATTTTGAGACAGGTTCTTGCTAAGTTGCCCAGACTAAGCTCATACTTGTGATTCTCCTGCCTGCCTCTGATTCTCCACTGAGATTATAGGTACAGTGGACCCTCAAGTTATGACCGGCCTCACATACAAACAACTTGGGCTAATTAGGTTAATGGGAAAATTCATCTACCTCTTGTTATCTATAGCATGTACCCAGGTAAATATCCAGATCTCAGCTGTATTGACTTAGTTACAAGCACCTCTAGGAACCTATCGAGTTTTAAATCAAGAGTCCACTGTGCCTCTGTACTTGGTTTAAAAGTGATCCTTTTAGGGCTGGGGATGTAGCTCAGTGGCACAGTGCTTGACTGGTAAAGCTCAAGGTCCTGAGTTTGATCCCCAGTACCCTCTCCCAAAACAAAAAAATCCAGCTTTTTAGATACTGGAAGAAGCTTAGTGTTTAGGCACTTTGGCTGTGAACTTGAATGGGGGGAAATACATCCTTAATCACGAATGAAACAACATTTCAATTAGGACTGTAGGTAACAAGCCACAGTACTACTAACAGTACCTATGAAATCACGATTTTTATTTTATTTTTTTGGTGCTGGGGATTAAGACCAGGGTCTTGTGCATGCTTTGCAGACAGTCTTATCACTGACCTATGCCCCCAGCCCTAATCATGGCAGTTGAACAGCATATTACAGTTAATTATAAATATCTCAAGATATAATTGATAGTCATCACTAGGATCAAAACTAGTAGTTACTTCACTTCCAGGTAGATTTGTTTACCACCCACCATTGGATCCAGGGCCTCATGCATGCTAGGCAAGAGCTCCTCCACTGAACTACATCCCCAGCCTAATACTGTCATTTAATGTGCAAGTAAGCATTACTATGTTACAAATTTGTTTTATTAATAATTTATTTTCAATATAGTTGGTGTCCTTTGCAGTTATTGTATTTTGTTTTGTGCATTTACAATTTTGGAGAATCATGGACTTCCGATTGGTAAAGGGTCTATTAAAGCAAAAAAAAGGGGGGGGGCTAAGAATTCTTAGATTCAAAGGCAGTACTGACAAAAAGGACCATTTCCTGAAGTCAAAGGTCTTCCAAGGTACTTAACCAGTTAAACCCTTTGAAGTCTGAGTTGCAGGCTTCAAGACTACAATTCCCAGAAGGTGATGGGCCCCACGGCCTATCCAGAGTTAGGACAATAACTCCGTCCAATGGTTCCTGTGCTGTCTATTGACAGCCTACAATTCCCGATACTCACGGTGGCTGTTTATCCCTTGAGGACATTATGGACACCGAGTTATAGCTAGAATCTTCAGTCGTTTCGTATACCTTCAGGGTGGACTTCGTCTTTTGGTGTCTGAGAGTAGGCTCGAGGAAAAACAAAAAGGCAGGAAATTCAGTCAGGAGAGAAACATGTCCCCTACACCAGCCCGTACTGGGTTCAGTTCACAAGAGCGCGAAGGCGGAAGTGGTGATGGCCGGCGCGGCCGGAAGTTCAGATCAGCTGATGGGGGAGGCGGCGCCGCAGCCGCCTAGAGGCCCCGGACGCCCAACGCTTCGTCCGGGCCCCGACTCTCGGAGACTGGTTACAATCCCCATTTGCACCTCCCTGTTGGGCAAGGCCCGGTCCCGTATCTCTCCCAGGCCCGAGATCCTCGCCCGGCACGGCCGCCCTGAGCGCCCCGGCCACCCCCAGCCCC